GATGCTTCTGGGTCTCCCAATCCTTTCAACTAGTGGGTGGAGCTGCAATAGCATTTGTTAGAAGGGAGGTCCCATCTAGGAAACCTCTATTCACTCCTTCTGTATATAGAGATCTGTCCCCCAGCCTCTTATACTTCTCCTTCACCAGGACAGGGACAAAGATACAGAAGGAGAACCCCTTCTAACCAATTATGTATCTTTTCACTTCTGGGTCTCCCAATCCTTTCAACTAGTGGGTGGAGCTGCAATAGCATTTGTTAGAAGGGAGGTCCCATCTAGGAAACCTCTATTCACTCCTTCTGTATATAGAGATCTGTCCCCCAGCCTCTTATACTTCTCCTTCACCAGGACAGGGACAAAGATACAGAAGGAGAACCCCTTCTAACCAATTATGTATCTTTTCACCTGGTTTAAATATTTAAAATGGCAGTAAATTGCATCCAGCATTTCAAAAATTTCCAGAAAATGGACCCTCCCCTGCATTTTTTAAAAACACATCAATATAGATACTATATCCTTGTAGAAATGGGGCTGGAGTACACCAGGGATGACTTACTCTTCTCCACCCATTTCCTTGATTGGCTAGCATCCCACTTGAGGACATGAGCTCTTTTCCAATACACGTTTTTCTTGTCCCCATTCTGTTCCTTGGGCTGTATCCCATCTCATTACAAGATGATTTAGGATTCCAAGTAGTTTTGAAGATTGAATTTCATTTAATCATAACTTCAGGATCTATGAGACTACATTGAGGTCAGAGATATACCTATATTTTCCCTCTACTAGCACTCAATGAGAGAGAACTTGTACTTCTGATACTTTCATTGAACTTTGTTTTTTGAAGGAGCGCTATTTATCCAACTGAGCATTCCAATCTATCGTGTACAGAAATATTATGGGTAAAACTACTTGTTAAAAAATCATTGTACAGGATGCGATTCTAAAACATCAAAATAATCAGTTATTAATTGTAAACAATTATGCTTGATTAGATAAGTGGAACAAACATGTCCTCTTATACGCAACATGCTCAGTAATAAAGTGCCCAAAACTATTTATCTTTACATTTAAAAATGGGGAAGTAGTGTTGGACTGAGCTTTCACACACTATATTTTGGCCCTTGGAAAAATGAAACTGCAAGTTCAAAGTTCCTTCTGCAAGTTCAGCTGCCCTCTTTCCCATCCTGTTTGGGTTCTAGTGCTCAGAAAGGACCTAACATGGGATAAGAGACAAGCCACAGAAGGAATTACAGTAGAGGACCCCAGGAGGTCTGGGAAGCCTTGCCCAAGACTTATTTCCCCCTCTACTCATCTACATAGCTATTAAATGTAATATAACAGAAGATGCAATATTATTGTGAACTTCTTGCCATGATTTTCATAAAAATATGCACATCCCTAACCATGACATGGATGTCAACATTCTAAAATTCTGTAACTCCAAATAAAGCACCACGCATAACAAAAGTATTGTGATTTAGATATATAAATACTTAAAACAGAAGCAGAATTCAGCCTTTGAGTTCGCCATTTAAACTCTGCTGCTGGTGTGTTTTGAAAAAGTTTTTTCAGTGGTTAAATAAAAATGTTGCAGCAAAATGAAACAGTTTTCATTTCTATGAACAACTTACATGCAAGAGCTTCACAGCACATTTGGTAGAAAGTGAAAGTTTTCATTGCACCCATGACGACACTGGTAGAGCGTACATTCAATTAATCACTCAGATCATTTTTCATTCTTCACAATACATGGACAGCATTTGATCAGTGCTTTAGTATATCTTTAAACTATTCTATTGAAAATGGTTTATCAACCTATGGTAAACCATGAAATCAGATGTGTTACCACAGCACTGCAATTGTTATTTACACAAAGTCCACCCATGAACACTATGTTGCTGTAACTGAAGTAGAATAAGCCACATCAAAATACATGCATTCTACCTCCTAGACAAACAGTAAACTAGCTTGTGCCATTAATACAACCATCTGGCACAAATGACCGTCTCAACAGTAATCACTTACACATAAATTAATCCTCATGTCAGGACTTGTAGATCACCTGATTGATCCTCTCTCCACACAGACATGCAATACAAATCACTAAAACTAAATTCCACTTATTCTTAAGTCTGAATACTTCTTGAGTTCTGTCTATTGGATATGTACAGTACCTGGTCGTGGAGAATTCAGTTCTGCAAACCTCTTTAGAATACTGCTAACCAACATGGGAGCAGCAACGGAAGAGTTCTGCTGCCTGGGAATGTCTGCCTGTTGCGTTGTACCCGAAGCCATATCGTAAATGATTGGGACAATAATGCTAACGGCTTCCTGTGGGACTGTAGCTTTCTGTGTTAACTGAAGCTGTGGGTAAAATAAAAAGTGCATTAACATGGAATAGTATTTTTCAGACACACACAAGCTGCCTTGCTACTGAAAGCCATCCGTGGTGTCCAACACGCTAATCACTAGCCATGTGTGGCTAGTTCACTAGCTACTGCTTCAGAACTGGTTGAACACCACGGCCCTAATTTGTACTTGGGTCCTTTTTTTATTTCATTTCCCTTTAAAATTATCCCAATGTGGGGAACCCCTTCAATACAGTAACATCCAAAAATGAAGTTTCATATAAAGATTCTATACATAAGAAAAGCTATTGAAGTCAAATGAATTGTGGCCATAGCATTCCATATTCTGTCTTCATCCTATTGCGTAACACCATACATGCTTCAGTTTTTATATGAGTCCACTGTCCAAAACACAACTGCTCATTGCAGCAACACTTCTAAAATGGTTAAACATTTCTAGGCATACATTTTATACAGAACTCATATTTTATAGATAACTCAATAATTAAGAATAATCTACATCTAGTCTCAAGACACTACAACTGAGAACCTCTCATGGACCCATGTGCACTGCCTGTACTGCTGATTTTGTAACTGGTTAAAGGCACCATCATCTAAACCTGACAATTAACACTAGAGATGTAAAATCCTGTTTAATCAGTTAACTGTTATGTTTAACTGGTAAACCTCTTAAATGGGGGCGGGCTGCTCCAGCCAGGCTGGGGCTCGGCCGCAGATGGGAACTGCTCTGGCCAGGCTGGAACGCTTCCTGCCCATTGGGCAGGGCAGCAGGCCTGACCAGGTTAGAGCAGCCGCCTGTCCGCCTTGGATGGGGAGCTGCTCCAGCCCAGCTAAGCCATTGGTTAACCATTAACTATCACCATGTAAGGGTGATGCTTACTGTTTAACCGTTGACATCCCTAATTAACACAGGTCAGTTCGTGTCCACATCGTGGCTTCCTCACACCAGACCACACTGGTATCACAGCACTCTGAGAAAATGCAAGCAGTTATCCCACAGTATTTCAGCAAAGAACAGAAAGGCCAGGACACACAGACTGGCACCAAGCAATTCATTTCATCACACTTTATCACAGCATCTCCAGAGAGCAAAAAGGAAGACTAGCTAAAAAAGGCACACAGGAACAGATACAGGGTTAAATCCACAGAAGATAAATAAGTGGGGTGAACGAGTTATAGAAAAACCGTATACAACCCTAGACCTCTTGCAACAGCACCATTTTTAGCCTGTCATTAGCCAAGAGTAACCACACCACATGCAGACAAAAGCCAGATTTACAGAACTGACCCTGCCACTAGCTGGCTAGTAACACTGCTCTTCTTTCACACCCTGTTCATGCTTCAGCTTTTAATAGAAACAGCTGTTATACTTACAAAAAACAACATTTTGGATTTCAGCACAACAGCAGGTGTTCCTGGAGGTGCAATTGGTGGGGCACTGGGAGGAATTGTTAAACAAAACTGCACATTCCATTTCAATTGGCTTGCTTGATCAGGGAACTGTTTTAAAAACATGCCACAGAGAACATGATAAAGCAAGGCACATTAAGGTAACATAGGTATTTGATTACTGTAACATGTTGGTACAGTTACACGCAGTTAGACTAGACCTGTCAAGTTTTCAGGTGATTTTACACTTAATACACATTTAATTAAGAGTAAACCAATCTCCTCTTGCTATGAAAATGGTTCTGTGAATCTACACTGAGATAGCAATGAAAAGATACATACGCACAAAGTTGTGTGATTTTTGCCAAATACTTCAAGTAGGAAGAGAACAAGTTTTCTTGATCTCTTAGTAACAAGCGCAGTGAACACATCTTTACTGAGTTTATGAATTTAACATTAGATTCTGGGTTTTCATCTACACTACAGGATCAAATTCATTCTGCAGTCACCCCAAACAGGTTTTTATTATTTTAAATGCAGATTTTAGAGTTCAAAAGACTAAATGTTGTGAACAAAGTTTAAAAAAAAATGTAACTTACCAACTCCAGTTTCATGATGTGCACACAGTCCCTGAGGATATGTGTAGGAGCTCCTAGTAGTTTTGTAAAGGCTATTAGCGTGTTTGCTTTAAATGGTGGTCCTGCAACCTACAGTAATACAATACCAATTAGTACTTGAACATCTCAATCAAAATTGGTCCATTTGCTATATATATATAGCATCACAACTGTGCTATTAACCATGTTAATAACTGTGCTATATAACTATTAATAACAGTTCACAATCATTCTAGAAGGGTATAACAACTGGGGTTCTGCAGGGGTCTGTTTTGGGACCAGTTCTATTCAGTATCTTCATCAACAATTTAGATGATGGCATAGAGAGTACGATTATTAGGTTTGCAGATGATACCAAGCTGGGAGGGATTGCGAGTGCTAGGGTCATAATTCAAAATGATTGGGACAAACTAGAGAAATGGTCGGAGATAAATAGGATGAGGTTTAATAAGGACAAATGCAAAGTACTCCAGTTAGGAAGGAACAATCATTTTCTCACACGCAGAATGGGAGGTGATTGTGTAGGAAGGAGTACTGCTGAAAGGTATCTAGGGATCATAGTGGACCACAAGCTAAATATGAGTCAACAGTGTGACACTTTTTGCTAAACAAGCAAACATGATTCTGGGATGCTTTAACAGGAGGGTTGTAAGCAAGAGACATGAGAAGTCATTCTTCCACTCTACTCTGTGCTGATTAGGCCTCAGCTGGACTATTTTGTCCTGTTCTGGGCGCCACATTTCAAGAAAGGTGTGGAAAACTGGAGACCGTCCAGAGAAGAGTAACAAAAATAATTAAAGGTTTAGAAAACAGGACCTACAAGGGAAGACTGACAGAATTGGGCATGCTTAGTTGAGAAAAGAGAAGACAGAGGGGACATGATAGCAATTTTCAAGTATCTAGCGGGAGGAGGGAGAAAAATTGTTCTCCTTAGCCTCCGAGAATAAGTAGTAATGGCCTTAAATTGCAGCAAGGGAGGTTTAGGCTGAACATTAGGAAAAACTTCCTGTCAGAGTGGTTAAACACTGGAATAAATTGCCTAGAGAGGTTGTGGAATCTTCATCACTGGAGATAATTTAAGAGCAGTTTGGATAGACATCAAACAGGGATGATCTAGACCAGGGGTTCCCAACCTTTTTCAGTCCCCGTACCTCCTTGGCTTTTAGTAAATCTTCCCATACCCCCTATTCAATATGAAAGGAAATACATTCTAGACTCTAGAATCCACAATTTTTTTCACTAACACTACTACTTTTGGAATATTTCAGTTACGATAATGTAGTTATTTACCAAATATTCCCTGTACCCTCTTGACAAGCTTCTCATACCCCCTGGGGGTACACGTTCCCCAGGCTGGGAATCCCTGATCTAGTCGGAGCTTGGTCCTATCGGGAGGGGCAGGGACTGGACTTGATGATCTCTCAAGGTCCCTTCCAGTTCTATGTTCTGTGATTCTATACCTGTTCACCTCTACTTTTATCCTACAGCACTTCTCTAATCACTAGTTCCACTAACATAAAGAGAATTACTCATGAATAAGGGCTGCAGAATAGACGAGTGTAAAGTAACATAGACAAACAAGACACTGAATATTAGTAGTTTAAGTACATACTCTTGTTTCAAAGAACTTCTCCAAAACTTGTAGTTCCTCTGGTTTCCACTGTCCTGCATTTTCAGGTGTTACTTTTAGCTGCAAAGTCTGGTTAGTTTTTGGATTCAGGGCAACCCTGCACTTCAGTGCATCTGTCTTGAACATTATTACACCTGGTTCATTGGAGTTTATTAGCTGTAGCTGTAGGAACAGAAACAATGCATCTAATTAGTACTTCACTGAGCAGCCTCACTCCTCAAACTCTTTCTCCACCCCAAAATTGTAAAGGTTATTTCTTTTAACAAGAGCATCAATTAAGTTTTGGCCACATGGAAACTTCAGGATCAATACAGAGCTAGATCCCACCCCCCAATTGTGGTCTTTTTGCATTGGTTTAGAAGCACAAAGACGTAGCCTCTCCACAGCAGTGGAGGGAATCTTAGCACTTCTTCCCCATCCCTAGGGTGTGGCTGGAACATGATGAGTTCCGGTCATTCCCAACTGGTGGATGACTCCTTGGAATGTACAGCCAGTTGGTGAAATTCAAAGCAGCCCCATGTCTGATCCATACATCACTTAGAGTAAAATCATCTCATCTCCAAGATCAGGGATCCATAATCTGACACCATAATGGTTCTCCACCCAGAGAGACTAAGTATCAGAAGATCTGGGCACCAGTCATTTATTTATTAAGAACAGCTAGGATATATGACTGCAAGGTTTTTCCTCTTGAGGGGAGGTGGGGGCCAAGAAAGAGGCAAGTGAGGGGAGGAGAAATCACGATATTTTTCATATATTTTTCATATAGCTAAGAAAGGTAATTTATCAAGAACTCAGACTACTATGATGGAGACATGTAAGTGCTGACACAGAGGGACCAAATATTTAGCTGACTACAGTAAGTAAGAGACTCCACATCTAGAAGTGTGGATTTCCCAGAAGACAGGGACTTCAGAATATGGTCAACCTAAATCAGGAGGGGATTTAATCCTGTGTTACATTGCATTAATAGACTGACATGCTAGTGTTGTATTTTGTCAACAGCATAAACAGCATAAGAAAGTTAAAATGTAAGTTTGAGATCCACAATATTCATATAAAGATTTACTAGCATTAATTAAGCCTCACATCCCAGATGTGAGGGGTAGGCAAATAGTATGTCCATTGTACTGATGAAAAGAACTGAGATGGGGAAATTCAGTCCTTTTTCATAACTTAATACTTGAGTCAGTGAGAGAGCCAGGAAAAGAACACACGGGATTTCTGATTCCTCAGCCCCCACTCTAATCACGAGACTTAATTTATTCTAGATATATTATACACAAGTCTTCAGAACAGAGGCTGAATATATATTATATTCCAGCTAGAAAGCAAACATTTATTAGTGGCAGCATTCTGAGTATCTGCTCTTACTTTTCTCTTTTTCTGAGAGGCTAAAAGCACTTACAATTGAGACACAATCATTTGCTATTTATTATGAAGCAGGCCTACAATACAATGTGACACAGAACTAGTTGGAAAGTTACACTTGAAAGTCAATACTTAGGGAGTTAAAAATTAGTCATTTAAGTACCGTTTCTTGCTGGATGATCCTCTGAAGGTGTCGCCTCATAATAACTGATCCAAGGAATCGCTCTAGAGGGGAGCAAAGATAGCTGCCTGCTAGTCCTGGTACAAGCCCAGGAGTAGGAGACGGCAGCAATAGAATATTCAAGGCACTGTGAGTGAGGATTGTGGGGATGGATGCAGCCCAGGAGCGTTGAGGTAGTTTACGAGGTGGAGGCATATTAGTCGGCATTGTTTGGGAACCTGATGGAAATAGAAAAGTCCTCACTTATTGAAAGTGTACAGAGTTTGACTGCAAGTTACATTTTCAATTTTTTGGTATATACAACACACAAAAAAGTAACAAAGATGACAGTCCTTGCCCTCAGAGAGCTTGCAAGGGGTCAGACTGGATGGAACTGATTGACAAAACTGAAAAGTAAATGGAGATGGGTTTGGAGGAAGACTAATAGTGGTGGTATGAAAAAAAATGTTTCATCTTGCCGGTTTTATATATTTAATGACTAATCTTTGCTTTAACTTCCCAGTTAGCTCCTCCTCAAGGGCATTTGTTGTAGGGCAACTACTACTGTAGAGGCCCAGCTATTGCTACAAAGTCAAGTAGTTACAGCCATTCCACTCAACCCATGCAGAGAATCTCAGTAATGGTAGCAACTAGTATATTAGTCCTCTTTTAATCCCCCAAGCCACAAAGTTTAAGTGCAAGCCAGCATTTTGCAACTTCATACTCAATCGATTGGCAGAAGTGATCAAAAAGTATAGTTAAAACAATCTTGCCAAGATCATTTTACCGTGTTGAAATGTGATATTTTACTATTCTTGTATACCAACATACTTTTGGATCTTCTTTGCACTAGTGCTACTATTCAGTTAACTTCTCCTCACCTTCAGCTATCAAAGGCTAAACGTTTCAACTGCTCAGTAAATAAACAAAAAATTTTCAGAACCAGATAAAAATAGATTCACTGCTAACCATAATTTGATTTGCCCTCCATTTTATATTACTTAAGACTCACACTATGCCAGAATAAATGCATATACATAGCAGACTATTACTTTACTATGAAAGGGTAGCAGATAAATAAGGAATGCCACAAAAGAGATGGAACTAGAAATAGTAACTAAATGTTTCACAATTCTAATATTGTTAAACATAACTTACTTCCAGCTCGTGGGGAATGAGAGGCATCTGGGACCGGAGAATGGAGAGAAGGATTGGCTGGTGACATTCCAGGCATGCGTGCTGCTGGTGAGGGACCAGACACTTGAGGAGATCCCGGCCAATTTCCTGCACGCTGACTAGGCGACATCATTGTGTACGGTGAACTAGGGTCTATGGTACCTGTGAAAATCCCTTGGTTATTTTTTTTTTCAAGTTTTTCTTAAATGGCAGAAACTATGGATCACTCACAATGAGTTCAGAATATTCTGAATTTCAGTGTAAAATACCAGTATGGCATATAGCATCCAATTCCTTTTACCTAATTCTCTATTTGTAGCTGTATGTAAAATGTAAGAATTTTAAAGAATTAATTTAAAATGGAAGTTTACATACATATTGCTTTGTTTTTAAATTCTATTGGTCATGGGCTAAATTCTGCAAAAAGATCTTTCCACACTGACTACTGCAGGTCTTTACCTCCCACTACTGTATGAAAGCTAGACACAGTGAAAGACAAAGGGTACAGTTTACTTGAGAAAAATGTAATTTCACTGCAGTAAAAGTTCCATAATAAAATCAATTGGTGTATGTTTCTCAGAATAAATCAGACTGTAGCATCTACAACAGACTGTTCCTCAGTTACTGACTGATATGCTGAAAAATAAAATCCACTTTCAATTGCTGGTGATTTAAGAAATAGTGGTGCTATCAAGAGCAAAATCTAACAATGTAATTATAGCAAAAGTAATTTGAATTTTCCAAATAATTCAATAACTGAAGCAAGGGGGAAGGATCAGGTGTATGTTTTTGTATACTATAAAACATCAAGACTTGGTCAACAAATGTCAAGTTAAATTGCTGGATCTCTTTAGCCTGTTATCAATAGCTTCACTTCCATGATTCAAGAGGAGTTGTTTTGCATTTAAAGATACAGGTTAAAGTAATTAAAATCTGCTGAAACCATGGCTTCTTAGTGATAGTCTAGGACTAGCTCAATTTTCTTGAGAGTAGTAAAGGATGGTAAGTGGTTGGTACTCAATTTTCAATAGCCTAGCAACACCTCAAGGTAGATGAATCCATTTGTGTAACGATAATTACCAAGAAATCCGCATCAGCACAAACTGCTATTTGAAGCCAATTGCTGAACATTCATTTTTTTCACACACTGTAAATCTCCAGACCTGAAGTTCTCTACGTAGCTCAAAAGGTGGTCTCATCCATCAACAGAATTTGGTCCGATAAAAAAATATTACCTCATCTCAGGGGGTGAAAGAAACTTAATTGCATCTCCCCCTTAGGGGGAACAGAAGGCTGGGAGGTTGTGATGGGACAGATTACCAGGGGGTATCATCAAAGAAGAGCAGAGGGAGGGGGAAGCCCGAGCACTGGAGACCACGTTGTCCAACCACCTGAGCACTGGGGCAGTTGGTACCACACTGACCAGGATGCCCTTGCATCCTGTGCCCCACCACAGGCCGGCTAGTGTCTTACTAGTGCACCGCATCAGGGGAGGGGAGGGAACACAGGAGAGGAGTGGCGCACACTCTCAATTTCACCTTTGCCTCACTCACACTGTATAAGTCTGTGTAGAGAAACAATATTAAGAAACAGTTTACTGTTCATATCACTATAAGGATGTACTCCTACAAGAACATACCGTGTGGGCTGGCAAAATTAGCTGTTTGTCCCATTGTTATTCCAAGGGAGGAAGGTGAAGGAGTTGGCCCAAATGATGCTGGTGATGGAGCTCTCAAAGCACCACTAGGGGAGCTTGCAGCATGAAGATTTCCTAATAAAGACACCCAGATGCAAAGAGCAATTCATTATGTATCCTACTTTTCTTTCAAAAGCTTGAGTAAATCAATAACAAAGAAAATCAGAAAAAAAACATGGTCTCAGTTTTTGGGACATGTCATACTAGCCTTGTAAAAATGTACTTTACCCCCAGAAGCTGTATCTTAGACTGCAATCAGCAATAGTACACTCTTATTGAGGAGACAGGATTCTAATTTATACAGTAACCAATCTTACTTCAAATGTTAATGTGAACTAGAAATTCTATAGTACATTCTACATGTACAGTACATGACATCTTTAGGTAATATATATATAATAGTTTTCAGCAGGCACATCAACTACAATTAAGATTGTATAACAATTTCCAATTTAAGCTGTATCTTCAGAGCCTTTTGAATTTTTCACTTAATTTTTAGTCTTGACCCATGTGGAAACATTTGGAAGTAGAAAGCTAAAACAGACTTTTCAGTTTAAATGAAGATTTTGATTTGACCACATTAGGAACATTTAAAAAAATTCTATGTTATGCAAGTACAGTAAATGTCAATTATGGTTCAAGTTCATACAGAGCTCACATTTCGTGTAACTAAGACCAACCACTCTGCACATGCCTCACAAGTAACAGAAGAGATAAGTAGGAGAGAAGTATGCAATAAATCATACTATTATTGAGAATATAAAAAGCTAACATTCATAATACTTATTGCCAAATACAGGATTGAGAACCAACTTACCTGGTGACTGTGTATGCATCATGGAAGGAGATGGGGTCACTGTGTTGTGATAGGATGTGGGTGGTGAAGTAAGAGGGTAAGCTCCCGATGCTCCTGCCTGTTTTGCAAATGGCTGAAAGTGTCAACACAGTAAAACTGAAATCTTCAGTGATTTCACCCTGAATCTGAGTACTAATATTAATAAATTCAGCAAAAAAAGTAGTTTGATAATAGATGTGTCTAATCAACCTATCACCATAGCATCCAAGTCACCACACCTTATTCAGTGCTTGCTACTTTGTTTCATGATTTTGAAGACTTCACTCTCTTCCCTCAACCCATATAAACATCTCACCCTCTTCTTCACTCCTAACAATCCAAAGACCAACAATTGAATACAGACCCTCAGTTTACTAAAAATCTTGTACTTTAGGACCACATTGTCTCCCCTCGATTACATACTCCTTTTCTGTTTAAAAAAAAAAAAGACATGTTGAATGGTTCTCCAGAATGACAGTCAACATGTTACGTGCGCTCTATGATGCTATCTCAAAGTAAACATACATTAAAATACAAATAAATCTCCAAAGAGCCATTCCAAAGCAATATAGTATATATTAGTCTCTCTATTATTCCACCTCTCTGGGGAAGACACAGCATACATGTTCTTAAAAAGTAGAGCTAATTATGGAGAACTAAGGCAATCCAGAGTAACTTATGGTTTTATTATTTTGCCTACAATATTACCTGTTGCTGTGATTGTTGGGGTTGAAGTTGTGATATCAATGAATCCATCATGTCTCCCCCAATAGGAGAAGGAGGATTATCATCCTCATTTACAGATCGTCTTCGTGCATCCTGATTGCTATCAACAAACATGTTCAGGAATGTCTGTGGATATATTTGATTATTATAATTTATTGCAGGCCTCTAACAGCAGTTTTATACTTAGGCTACTGCTATTCATACTTAGATCAATTGTATGCGTGCTATTTATAATTCATTGTGTTATTCCTAGATTAAAATATAAATTTCTTTACTTGAAATACAATTCACAAGATCAGGAAGTCAAAGACCAAATTTGGTTACAAAGAAATGGTTCCTGTTTGCCACTCTAGCAAATTCATCCTCAAAATTCAGTAATCTTTCATACAATTTCCTATTAAAAAGATAGTAACTATTTTAAGTAACTCCAGTTTTCTAGATCAGTACAGGTTTATTCTCACAAGTTCTGAGAAAATAACCCCCTTCCTGTTACGTTCTACTGGCTTATGCCACATTATTATTAAAAGATGGAAATTTTAGTCTCCAGCCCTAAAGTATAAAAATTAACTCAATGCTGGTTAAATCAAACTCAGGAAGATCTAGAACATTTGTGAAGCTATACAGCTCTCTCAAGAGGCTGACAATTTTAAAATTTTAAGGAAATTATTAACCAAGAAATAAAATAAAAAGGTATATAATAATTTCAAGTAAACATAGGAATCAACACATTCTAGTCACTGAAAAATATTTTTGATAATTCTAAATTCAGATAGGACCTTCAATTGAGATAGAGGGTTGGTTTTGTTTTTTTTGGGCAAGTGTAAAAATTATCTTTACAACAATTCCATTTTCAACTCTTACAAAGGGGTGAAGCTTTTACTTAGAAGTAGGGCTGTCAATAAATAATGCACATAACTAAGTAAAAAATAACATTAAAAAATAAATCATAGAATACTAGAACTGGAAGGGACCTCAAGAGATCATCAAGTCCTATCCCCTGCCCTCACGGCAGGAAAGAAGTACCATCTAGATCACCCCGATTAGGGATGTTAAATATGGTGTATTTGTGTAAACACGTAATCACTGATTTTTAGCAGTTACATATTTACATGCAAGGGAGCAGGGCTTAAAAGTTGGCTCCCCGCAAGCACCAACTCCTGCCTGCGCCCTTCTCCCCCACTGTCTCTGATAGGGGGGCAGCAGTGCAAGAGGCAGGCGGCTCTGCAGGAGCTGGTATGCACAGGGGGCTGACTTAAAAGCTGGCTTCCTGCGTGTATGGCTCTAACCTGCCCTCCTAACCCCTGTGCTACTGTCTCTATCAAGAGGCAGCAGCATGGGGGATGGGGGGGGACAGGCAACTCCATGGGAGCTGGTGCTTGTGAAAGCAGGCTTTTAAGCCTGCTCCCCCCAGTACAGGTCCCATCTCCCCGCCTCCATCCTGTGCTTCTGCCTCTGTGGGAGGCAGCAGGGGAGGGGGCACAGGCAGCTCCGGGAGCCAGCTTAAAAGCCAGTTCCAGCTTCCACCTTCCTTACAGCCTCTGATAGAGAGGCAGCAAGGGTGTGTGTGAGTGCGTCCCCATTAAGATTAACCAATAAACCCTGGCCATGTAAATAGCTACATACTAACATCCCTATCCCTGATAGAAGTCTGTGTAACCTGCTAAAATATCTCCAAGGAAGAAGATTCCACACCCTCCCTAGGCAATTTATTCCAGTGCTTAACCACTCTGACAGGAAGATTCTCCTCATGTTCAACTTAAACTTCCCTTGCTGCAATTTAAGCCCATTGCTTCTTGTCCTATTATCAGAGGTTAAGGAGATTAATTATGCACTTGTCTTCTCCAGCTTCTTTGTGCGACTCTGAAGCAGTGCAGAACAGAGCAGTCAAACTGGACAGTCCAGTTAAACAACATTTTGAGCACTTTGCTAGAGCAATGCAAAGTACCAGTAATTTATACACCAGATCGGGGTTGGCAACCTTTCAGAAGTGGCATACCAAGATTTAACTTATTCATGGATCTGTGTGTCAGGGGGAGGAGAGGGCAAGGAAAGAGCAGAGGCAGGTTGCGTAGGGTGACCATATTTTCTGAACCAGTTGCAGCTAAGGAGAACGGTTTAATTTAAATGATGGAACAGTTTAAGCGTTTTAACTTTCTCATGTTAGTTTATCAAACTTGATTTTAAATCAAGCAAAATATTATGCACAACACAAAGGGTTTCAATGTTTTCTTTATTTACGGCAGGGGTGGGAAACCATTTTTGGGCTGGGGATCACTGATCCACTGAACAATCAATTGGAGACCACACAAGTGAGAAGCAAAAACTCTCCTCCACAAACTGCCAACCCTCACTGATGTGGCTCCCAACTGAGACACCTCACACCTCTGGTGTTCCAGCCTCACAGGGTGAGGGGAAGGGACAGGAAGGACTGAGATTGAGGGTTTCCCATGGGCCAGATTTACTCTTCTGGCATGCTGGAGTTACTGGATTTTATGCAGTCCCTTAGGGCTGAGGGATACAGTGTGCAACACCAGGCTGCCAATGAGTGGGATAGCGATGAGGGTGCAGGATCTGGGCAGAAGGGGGGAGTGCAAGAGGAGTGAGGGTGCAAGGTCTGAGTGGGAGGTTGGTGCAAAAGCAGGCTGGGTGTAGAGTGTCTGGCCCAGGGTAAGGGAGCAAGAGAAAGGGAGGATGCAGTGTGTGGCGAGGAGGAAGGATGCAGGAACAAAGCTGGATGCGGGAGCAGAGTGTGGACTAGGTGTCTGGCCAGGCCAGAGGGAGAGTGCAGGAGCAGGATGGGGGTAAGGTATCTGGCCAGGAGGGAGAGCATCTAGCCAGGAAGGAGGGAGCAGGAACAAGGGAAGGTGTCAGAGCAAGCTGGGGGTGTAGGGTTTTGGCAGAGGGAGGGGACTAAGTGAGGGGACTGAGGTGTGTGGGGGGGTTTGGGCATGAGGCAGGATGCTTACCTGGCTTCGTGCCCCCTTGTAGCAACTGTAACCGCCACGCGGCCCAGGGCCGGCCCTGAGGCGCCAGTGATGCTGCTATGCAGTTGTGCACCTGCCCTGGAGGTGCCACTGAGAAGCATCAGCCCCAGCACTGCCTCCCTCCCACTACAGCCTAACCTGCTTCAGGGAAGAGGGAGGACTCTCCATTGGCTGCAAGGGGAAGGAGAAGCGGGGCTGAGCTCCCACCCTGCATGCTGCTGAAAATCAGCTCACATGCCACTTATGGGACTCGTGCTGTAGGTTGCTAACCCCAGCTCCAGATTCTCCCTTGCATCTCCCAATATACCCTGCCCACAGCTCCAATTGCACATACCCTCTTGCACACCCCAGTTTTGACTCTCTCCTACACCTCCCATAGATCCCTATTCAAAAGCACACCTGTCTTCCCACTCCTTCCTGTCCCCTTCCCCACTGCAGACCCCTATTTCCTCTTCAGTCATTTTGTGTATACATCTTGAGGAAGAAAAATATTTATCACTTTAAGGCAAAACTTCTGTGGTCTGGGACAATAGTCTGGCAACATCAGTGGTCTGGACTAGAGAGCCCAGTGGCAGAGGTTACTGGTGGCTTGGAGTGGAGCCGGTTGGCAGGTCCATCGGGGAGAGGAGCCCATGGGGCACTGGAGACGGCAGCTGGCAGAGCAGGAAAGCTGGCGGAGAAGGGGGAAAGGTGCAGAGCTCATGGGGACATGGAGCCGACAAGATTGCCAGGGCCACTGGAACTCTGGAAGGGCCGCTGCAGCTCACGGGGCCTGGAGGCTCGGGAGAGGAGTCCAGTGCCTCCCCCCAGTCCTCCCCTAGTTCAACAAACTCTCTTGTCTAGGACTGGTCAGCTCCTGGGGGTGCCAGACCAGGGAGGTCCAACCTGTAGTGTTCATTCTTTGCCATTAATTTTCATAACTGAAAGTTTCTGTCAACAGAAGCTGGTGCCCAAAATCTTCCAAGGATTTCAGAAATTGCCCCATTAAAAAATGTCTGCTATTCCCATTTCTCAATAGGAGTGAAACGCGGGTGGCCTCTTTCAAAATGGCTACTATCTCCCATGTGAGCTAAGTGAGCCATCAGATTTATGAGCAGCCTATGGCTTCATTCCCACTGAGAACAATGGGAGACTACAGGCTTTTCAAAGAGAGCAGCTCTGCATAGGCTTTTCTGAAATAGAAAATTAACCATCAGCCCCTGCTAAAGAAGTGTTCAGCTATGAATAATGGAAAAAATTACCATTAATCCTAAAAATATCTTTAAATGTAGCTTTGGTACAAGATTTCAGTGAAGTTTAACTAAGAATGAAGCCTGAAGTGTCTGCATTATTAAGATCATTCAAGAGGAAAAAAAAGTATACGCTGAAATCTGAATTTATTGTTGGCTACGCTGAGTTAAAATCAATTTAAATGAATTGATTCGTTTTCTTGTAAACTAGGGATGTAAAATTGTGTTTAATCAGCTAATCGAATAGTTGATTACTCGATTAGTCGATAAGGGAGAGAACTGCAGAGCCACAGCACGATTAGCTCTTGGCCGCGGGAGATAACCCCACTGAGGCTCTGCCTTTTAAATATATTCAGAGCTGCCAGGTTCCCATTGCTGCATCTCTGCTTTTGACTCTTAATGCATTTAAAAAATAGAAGCACAGCATCTGGGATCAAATGTAAGCCAGGACAGATGATTCCTGTCTTGTGCTTGGTCCCCCACACTGAGCCTCTGCCTCCCTTACCCCCCCAAGGAAACAGTGCTGGGAGAACTGGCTTTTAAGACAACTTCCCCCAGCACCAGCTCTTGATCTCCACCCCTTTCTCTCGGTATGTCTACATTGCATTCCTCTTTCAAGAGAGGAATGCAAATGCAGACTAACGAAATTGCAAATAAAGCGTGGATTTGAATTTCCTGCGCTTCATTTGCATAATTGTGTCCGGGCGCTATTTTGAAATAACTGCGTCTAGACAGCGTTTCTTTTTTCAAAATAGGATATTTCAAAATAGTGCCCGGATGCGATTATGCAAATGAAGGGCAGGAAATTCAAATCCATGCTTCATTTGAAATTTCTTTCACCTTCATTTGCATTCCTCTCTCGAAAGAGGAATGCAGTGTGTAGACATACCTTCTGTGATAGAAGCAGCAGGAGAGGGGAGGGGAAAGCAACTAATCAAGACACAGCTCGACTATGTAACATGCGTATGCTTATCGACTAGTCGCTTACATCCCTATTTTAAACCAGAAAATTCTGCACTCAAAAAGAGCAAGTGCTCTGATTTTTTACATATATTAGCTTCAGTGAAAAGCTCATCACAACAGACACAATGGAACCACGAGTGATGCTTCCATTACATTCCAGAAAACATAATTACCTTTAGACCTGGTGCAGGATAAAAACCTTCAACAATTTTACTATTGTCAAAAAGGCTATATGCTCCGTCACGGATTGCCACCACCCCACGGCTCCGGCAGTAGATGTCAATGCAGTACATATTCCGAAAAGCCAGCCTGATGTGCGTGGGTGACTGCGGCAGGATTGAGAAACATTGATAAGCAATGTTGATGCGGTGAGTCAGCCCTAGCATTGGCACAGTCGGAAGTTTGTTGATGGCAACTAATGGAGCCTGAGTATCAAACAATACCTGCAAAAGAACAGATATCAATTAGCTTCCACAATCAATCACAAAGTCTGTTTTTAAGGGAACCAGACCTAGTCTACACTACAAACGTCAATGCAAAGTGGCTTACCTTGACCTAGCTGTGTATGTTATGTTTGTCTCCCAACAACATAACTGCCCTGTTACAGCGACACATGAATACTCCCTCCCTGAATCAGCATCAACGTACTCCGAAAAATACAGTGGGAATGTAGACACAATGTTATTTATGTTGACCCTAACAGTCCTCCAGCAGCAATCCCACAATTCCTGACACTGACTGCTCTGGTCACAATTGTGAACTTCATTGCCCAGAGATCACAGAGACTGGAAAGTCTCGCTCACCTTGAAGCATGAACATTTTGAAAATGTTTTTTTCCTGACTGTCCATTTTGCAAGCTGTGTGCCACTTTCCAAACACAATGCCAGCTACGCATTCCAAACATGCTTCAGCTTAGAATCAACAGGCGATATTGGATCTCCTGGGACTGTGCGAAGAAGAGACTGTGCGGACACAGCTACAAACCAACAGCAGAAACATGGACATCTACAAGCAGATTGCACAGGAGTTGCAGGAATAGGGGTAAACAAGAACCAGCAGTAGGACCGTATGAAAATGAAGCAACTATGTCAGGTGTATCAGAAGGCCAACAGTCGATCCAATGCCAAGCCACAGACCCTACTGGATCCAGCAGCCCTTGCCCACGGCCAGCCCCAGCCACTGGGAACAGAGGCTGCTCCGACAGCCCATTTGTTCCGGCCCGGGATGGCCATGGGCAGAGGCTGCTTTACAGCAGCCTCCCCTACTTCACGCCCCCTCTGATAGAGGCAGTAGTGCACGGGAGGGCAAGCAGCATTGTGGAGATGGTGCTGGGGAATATCAGCTTTTAAGCAATTTCTCCCCATCACCGGCTCCTGTTTCCCCCATCCCTACTGCCTGGGGGGGGGAGGGGGAGAGCGGGAGCAAGCTAGTTGTCGAGTAGTAAATTCAACTACTCGCTTATATCCCTAGTGTCTGCTTGCAGCTTTTTAAACATCTTTTTGCTCTTAAAAATGCAAGCACCTTCTCTGACCAGCCAACACTTATGATGATGAAGTATTTCCAGTGACTCATCAGAGCTTGCAAAAGCATTAAAAAACCAGTCCCTTTTGTTGATGTACTCTTGGGCAAGGTGGTCTGGTGCCCAACTAGGGATGTGTGCACTGTGTATTGTAGGGATGTAAGCGAGTGGTCAAGTCAATTACTCACTACTTGCATCCCACCATGAATACAGACTGCTCTGGCAACAGCCCCTGTCCACAGGGGCAGGGGCTCCCAGCATAGACAAAGCCTCAGAAGAAAAATCAAATAATGGAGGATAATGAGCCCTGACATATTATCTACTCTTCCCCAATAAACAAGAGCCATCTCTAATTTATTAAGGCCCAGATTCTGATACCCTTGGGGGAAAAACCCCTCAAAGATCAGAATCTGGGCCTTAGTTATCATAAAATTTAGAAAAGTGTAACTTTTCATAAAGAAAAATAAAATACAGTTACCTGTAATAACTGGACCACATTTGGTGTTTTATTGAACATCTCCTGGAGTTGGTGTAGAATAGTATTATGACAGTTACTGCAACCTGAATTTGGGCCAACTGTTCCCAAGGATATGTGGAATTTTTGATGTATGGAATTCCACTGAATACTGATCTATAATACCAAAGAAGAACGCACAATCTTTAACTGAAATAAAACAATCATATCAGACTGCAAGTTGTGAACCAGAAACAGGAGATTACACATACATACATATAAAAGTAATTGAAGTCAAAACGCCATGCAGAAAGATAGCACAGCTTTCTACGAAAGTGTATTTTGTATATCTAGGAAATCCCCATGAGGAAAATTAGTGAGAGATGGGGAGAAAAAAGGCAACTAAAGAAACAAATTAGGCTATTGCCGTTAGCGTGTTACTCAGAGTATATCTGCTCTAAGCAGCTTTTAACAACAAGGCTGTGTCAACAAAGCCACGTTGCTAAAAGTCAGCATGAGTGAGCGCAGTGTGTCAGCACTTTGGCCAACAAAATACATCTACCCCAACAAGCAACTTTCACTTTGTCGGCAGAAACTGGCATTCACATTTCAACTTGCTACAGAAAAACTTTGTCATTCATGGGGGAAGGAAGATGTTAAGCAAGTGTAAACATAGCCTAAAAAAATCGGAAGTTTCATATGTAGGGCCAAATTTTGTATCTGCAATTTAAAAACAATCCACCAATGTGGATCCCTGCAGACATAAACCAGAATCTGCAATTTGCAAGGTTCTAGATAAAAAAATTTGTGTCTGCATCTGTATCTACAAAAATGAGCTGCGGATATAAAGTGAATATCCATGGATTTGCAAGACTCTACTCATCAGTTAAAAAGAGGTGAGATAAAGAATCCAGTCTTGAGAAACAGATCACTTCATTATCAACAAAACACATGTATTGGTAAAGTTATAGGTGTCTCACCACCACTACACCAAGATGCTATGATGGGTCAGGCCAATGTGTAGTTGCAATACCATGCACAATCTAACATGCTATTTGCGACATTTAAGGGAAGTAACTATCACAATTAGTTGTTCCCTATAATTTTTTCCCCACACATTTGCAATGAATTTTGTTATGTGCACCAATAAGAAAGTGATGTGTGACATCACCCACATATTGGTGGGGCTGAGAGGGTTAGAGTATGACTTCAGACAGGAGACCCCTCCCATGACTGGTGGTGAGGATAAGGGCAGAGCAGCCACGCTGCCAAGAGGAGTTGCTGTGCGAGGCACTACCTCCCTGATGCAACAGGACCACACCCCTCTCCAAAGGCTGCAGTGGCTCTTGGGACTAGATCCCACTGAGATTTGCAGTCTATCCAAAGCAGATGTTTGTATTCGAGCAGGGCTCTAGCCACGTGGCACTGAAATAGTCCGCAGCAAAATGAGAAAACATTTACATGATTCCTTTAATTAAAAGTGGAAAAAAATATTGAATTTCAGAAGTTTTGTCAGAGCCTTAATTTTATTTTTGTTAAGAGAGCACTCCAACATAACTGTCCTCCTAGCATTTAACATTCTAATTATGTAAATATTTAGGCATCCCGCAAATTAATGATGGCCTAGCATGCATTACTTACAGCTTCCCTGCTTTACTTAATAAGAATTCTTTCCTGTTCTTTAAATGAGATGGAGGAGCTTTTTGCTTAAAATTCCAAAAACTCCGAACCTATATAATTTAATTTCAAATGTAGCCTTAGAATTGACTAAGTTACTTACTGAGCTTCCCTTGGTAGTTCCATAACAAAGGATTAGCTTGCGATAGTTGTAGACTCGGACCTCTGAGAACACATTTAGGTGGTTGGGTATTTCTTTTCAGGAAGAGAAAAAAAGTGCTAGGATGAGAAAGCTTACATATTTACATAAGATGCACTAAAAGTGTAACAGTAAAAGAAAATATTTTTGTACCTGGCAAAGACCGTGCAAACTCCAGTACACATTCATATAGCCGAGCAATACTGTTCCAATCATTGAGGAACATCTCAACAACTTTTCGACCTCCGACTGGTTCAGACAATTGGTTTTCGTAAGTCAGGTAGACATGACGGGTTGGCCCTGCAGTGTCAGTAATGATTAGCATTTAATAGGGAACGTAAAGAAAAAGGAGTCAAATCCACAAAAAAGATTTCTGCAAAACTAACCTTGCTCTCTGGAAGATGTGCTGTTAAGCGGACAATTTGCAAATATCAGTTCAGCAACCCACGTGCGGTTATTTCTACCTTGCAATCGGAAAGTGCAATCAAGAAGAGACCGGTCTAGAGCTTTCTGGGTTTCTTCACTTGTACCTTTACATGGAGGAATTCTGCCCATGAAGAAAAGAGTGTGCAGTTGTATACATTACAGTTCCATGAGTGCAGAATATATATGTTGAAATATTTTCCAGAATGACACTGCAGAGCATTGAATGGAAGAGAGCTGGGACTGGAGAAATGAAGCCAGGTACTTTCTTTCAAGAATTGTAGAAAAGTATGGTATCTTGCAATACAAGTAAATTATATGCAAATGCTACAAAACATTGTTAGATAAGGGGGGTAGATCAGCCTCCAACAGATCTACAATCAAATTGCTGTCAAAATAAGTACTATGAAGGGAGCTCAACTCAGCTCTCCTGGCTCAAAGAGCTTTACTCATGAGCGGCTTCTATAGAAAAAGTTGCTAAATAAAGTCTTTGTAGGAGTGTAGTGTCAGCTTTGAGCCTTTATTACCCAGCCTTCAAATTGGGATTCAGTTTCCCTTTTTAAATACATTTTCATTCTAAAGCCAATCTAACAAACTCGGATAATATTTTAATTCCCAAAATTATATTCATATACCAAATATTGATGACCAAATTCAGAGAGACCACTAGAAAAGCCATTCCCAAATTATGGGTCACGACCTCCAAAAGGGGGTCATGACACATTTGAAGATGCAGTGATCCCTACTGTGAGGAAGAGGACACTTTGTTCCACACAGCATGACTTGACATGTATGGTTCACATGAAATCGCAACACATGGAGGATACCATTTTTGCTCTACAAAATGGCACCCTCCACACAGCATGACTTCACATGCACAGCACTACTAGGTACCTGCCAGCCCTGCTCTGGTATAGCCACAGCACGTAACCTCTGGAGGGGACCAGGCCCACCACAGAGAGGGGCTGCGAAGGATGAAGCTTACTGGTTAACCTTTTACATCCCTAAGTAAAAGCTGCACAATTCTAGGTAGACATATTTATACCAGTATAAAGGTGCTTTATCAATACAGTTTATTTCCATTACAGCTATATGAAAAGGTTACGTTAGACAAGCGTATTTTTAGGATGGATATTAACCCTCCCATTTCAGGGCATAAGCTAGACCAGGACTACTCAACACGCGGCACATGACCTGTTTGTTTGCAGCTCGTGGTGAGGTTTGGGTTCACGTGGGGCTCAACATGCAGCCAATGGGTGGAAGCCAAAACAAAAAAGTAATCAATATAATGGTCTTCTGTTGAAATGCGTTTTAGTAATTAAATTCCTGTTCTGTCATAGGTGGAAATTGGGTAAATATAACATTTTATTAATATCAGCAGAACTGACTTAAATGGGGCCTGAGTGTTGTGTTGTCTTGCATTCATCTTTGTATTCATGCCCGTCAGTGTGAAAGAAGCTATTTGAATATATAGTTGCATCTATATGCAATCACACTTAAGTTGCGGCCCTTGGCATGTGCTATGAGTGAGTATCATTGTGGCTCTCTGGGCTTCCGAAGTTGAGTAGCCCATAGCTAGGCAGTAACTGAGGGAGCTTAAGAAGAAACTTGCCCTACAAGCAGTTTCTCTCTTCAGGATTCCTAGCACCTTCCTCTAAAACAACTGGTATTGGCCACTGTGAGAGATGGAACACTGAACCAATGTACCACTGGCATGACCCAATACAGCAATTCCTATGTCCATGGCTCAAGCCATGACTACATCTGAGAACTCTCTTCAGGAGCTATCACTACAGAGATCACCTGGAGATACCTGAACTAGCTGTCTTTAGATATTAGGATCTGGGGCTACTAGTGAATATTCTCAGTGAAAAGCCCTCTGCTTATAAATTAAGTTTCCCTCCATTGGTTAACTATATCCCAAGTCCGTTGACCTTCAGGACACAATATCAGGAACTCTGTTTTATAATCAAGGTTTTGCTTGAAGACATGTGATTTGAGATGTGAACAAATAATAACTGTTGCTTTCTACAGAACATCCCTTTTCTTCCACTTATCAACAAAGATAAATTATGTTAATTTCTGTGTGCCTCAAAATATGAGGAAGGGCATACTGTTCAACTCTACAAAACGAAATGAAAAAAGAAGTACAGTTCCAGAGAACTATAGGCTGCTATATTAAATTAAATTAAATTTATTTATTTATTTTATATTAAAGCCTTCATCTGGCAGAGGATGAGACGAAGGCTGGTAAGAACTATGGGCTAGCTGCATCAGTATAATTCACGTTTCTGGAGAGAGAGGTACTATGAAACCTCCCAAGCCAACGTTCTAACCTCCTGATTGCTGACAGACTCCTGCATAGATACTAGTGTCTACCCATAGATGCGGATATCCGTGAATAGACATTGATCTTCAGGGCCCTATTCCCAAGAAACACTGTGGCCAATGGAGAGGAACATGGTACCCCCGTTCCCAGGAGCCAACATATCCTAACAAGCATAGCTGTACCGCTCCTAGCCACATCTCGTCAGTGGGTTGTCTCCTGGCAGGGCTGGGGGCAGTATAGTCACACTACTGAGCGGAGCTGTGGCACGACGGCTGGCTCCCTGGAGCAGTGGGACCACATTCCTCTCCCCACTTGTCAGCGTCTCTTGGGAGTAAAGTCCTGTGGGTCAGCAGATACCAACGTCTATCTGTGGATATTTGCATCCACAGGTAGATATTTGTGTCCACGCAGGGCTCTACTAACAGATACTCAGGGAACGCGGGACACAGGCTATTTCAGGTTGAACTTAGGGTTGAACTCCTAAAATCCAGGACTCTCTGATCCAGAAACATCTGTGGTCCAGCAGGACCATGAATATTGTTGGACCAGAGAGCTCCGGCTGTCCAGGTTCAAAAGCACAGCTCGGGCTAGCTGGTGGTGGGGAGCCCAGCCCCGAATGGAGAACACAGACCTGGCCTGAGTTGGCAGCAAGGAGCGCAGCCGCAGTCAGGGCTGGAGGTAATTGGGCTAATGGGGGGGAAGGGAGAGATCAGAAGCGCAGCCTCAACCAGGTCTGGCATGGTGGGGGGCAGAGCCTTGGCCACGGCTGGCAGTGGGGACCTCAGCCTGGCCCAGGCTGGAGTCAGCTGAGAGCGCAGCCTGGGCCAGCGCCATAGCAGGAGAGGGATGATGCAGTGGCCCTGCTGGGACTGGAGGCAGCAGAGCTGGCCCCTGTCTGGGGCTGGCATGGTGGGGGGATGCAGCCCCAGCCAAGCCTGGCATGGTGTGGGGCTGAAGATAGCGGCAGGAGGCAGGGAGCGCAGTCCCAGCTGGGAGCAGCTCCTACATCCAGGTAGGGAACCTTGACTTCCCCTCATCCAGAAAACACTGTTGTTTAGGACCACTCAGGTTCCAAGGGTGCTGGACAAAGGAGGTACAGCATGTAGTATAATGGCAAATCCTGCCAACGGTAATAACAGAAAATGCTAAGTTAGCAAGCTACCATTCAGACAGATCTGTCTGGAACAAGGAAGGATAGATCATTTCTTATAGCTTCTGTGCATTTGTTCAGGTCTGGAAGAGACAGAGATTTTAATGTATTGGGCCCCTTAGCTGGTCAATACCCACCTATAAACCAGACACAAGGATTGGCTGGGCCCAC